TTTAAACCTTTGGAGTTTATGGGAGCTCCGTATTTCTTTTTGTCATTTAAACCTACTTCTGTATCTTTAAATGCGTAGTATTTGGTTAAGTTATGTAGTTGGGTCGTAGTAGTGGTTCTCCCACCGGAGGATTAGTGTGGGTGCCAATCACGACGGTCTGGGTCGTTACAATTAATTATATATACTATAACATAATACCAAATAGAGTATATAACTAATGCTTACATTAATCATAAATAAATTAAAAAATATATCAAATAAATTATTAAAAATAACACAAAGCTAATGTATACGCTATTTTTTGGAAAGCATCTTTACCACGTCTCATTGAGATCTAGAAGAAACCTTTTAAAGCAGAGTTTTTAGTCAGAAGAAAAAGTGGAGAAAAAGAGAGCAGAAGGCATATTTGCCTATTTGGCACAATTTATCAGTTTTGATTCAAATTCGTATATTTTTCTTAAAAGCTAGAATTTAGAATGTAAACAAAAAAACTTCAAATTATAACTTTGCATATCTCCTAAGTGGACTTGAAGTTTTGATGTTGCATTTAAATATGGATTACAACTGATGCTACTACAATAAAGTTGAACAGTATGTATATCTAATAATGTATATTATATTATTATATGTCTTAGTCTTATCTATGATTTTCAATATTAATTCAAGTAGGACACACTTATGTACACAACTAAAAAGCTACTGAATTATGACCTCCATACCCAAACCCTTAGTAGAACCAAAAAAACAAATGCATAGCTAGTTGGCTGTTAGAGGTTTTACTGTCACTATCTCTTGTATCTAGGGATGAACATGGTATGGTCTTTAAAGTTTCGGTATTATAATTTTAATATTCGATTTTTAAAATTATTATACTATTATCAGATCAATTTAATTTAGTATGATTCGATATTTTGAAGTTTGATTTCGATATCTTACAATAAGTCGATAACCATAGTTTGTTCAACTTCGACTAATGTATACTAGTATAATAGAGTATTAGAACTTCGACAATTCAAAAAAGAGTCTCAATTGTTTCATACTAACACATTACACATGTAGAAATATTTAGGGCCGATTTTTTAGGTATACAACTTAACAAATGTATTTACACCAACATAGCAATACTTTTTTTTTTCCAATTATATAGCAATTTTTTTTTTCAAAAGTAGAATTTAATTATTTTTTTTTAAATTCCAAACCAGCCACGATTATCCCGATTCCCATAAATTTCTCCAATAATTTTACCTTCCCTAATTTATTCAAATATGTTTTAAAAAATCGGAACAATAAAATAATTAATAAAAGAAAAAGAAAAATCGGAAATTAAAGCATGACAGCCCACAATTTATTTTTTAATTCCTTAATTTTCTCCCCCTCTTTTATTTACCTTCTATAAATATCTCTAATATAGTTATTGCTTCTCTCTGATAATTCTAATCAAAATCAAACTCTATACCTTCACTATTCTGAAAGTGTGTTCAATGGAAAATATGAATATTTTTTCAATTTTAATTCAGCACGACGGGAGATGGAATGAAACAGGTATTCACCATAATAATTGCTTCGATTATGGTTGTTTTAAAGTATATTTATTGGTTTTATTGAATTTTTTTTATAAATATATATATTGTTATAGCTTTATTGATTGGCATTTTTTGGATGGAATCTGTAAAACATAAACTATGTTGTTCTCAATTGCTTTGCACCATACGTAGGTACTCGCCTATAGTTAAATTATTGGTTAATTAGTGGTTTATGTATTGGTGTAGTCCATATATTTTGAATGCATATGTTTTTTTAGTTAGTGGCGTATATACATCAAACCATTATGGTGTATTTTTGTTGAATTTTAATGTTATTTATCAGGTTATTCTGCTAAGCACTATTATTTATTTTGTATCTACCGAAAATAAAACTACCAACAAATATAAAATAAGATTTATAAAGTTTTGTTATATGACAGTGGTTAGTTAGTTTATTGGTAATGTTTGGTTAGTCTGTAGTTCAAATGATGATATATATATCAATTTGAAGTGTACACAAATTCTTAATCCTAACATACACCATAGTAATTGTAAATACCAAAATTTATACAAATTCTGCATAGCATTTAAACTAGTAAATTAATTTTAGCATTCTTTATCATAAATTATACCACTATAATACACAAATATAAGTTTGGATTGTTTTGAAGTATTTTATTGGTTTTACTGATTAAACTTTTTTATAAACATATATTGCTATAGCTTTATTGATTGGTGTTTTTTGGATGGGATCTGAAATATGGGTGTAACAAGTATGTATTAGTTTTTTAATTATTATTTTTTTAATTTGATTGCTAAAATATATAGTTCATTTTTTTTTATTGTTTTAAGTTTTTTTTTGTTGTTTTTCTTGCTTGATTTTTTGTGTAAATAGATATGTTAACTATGAAAAATATTGCTTGAATGAATGCTTCGTATGTTATTTGACACACAAATTTTAATTAATTTGATTATATAAAATGATTGAAAAATTCTGGGTTAAATTATGGTGTATATCTTGGTCTAGTTTATGTATTTCGTATTATAGTGCACTATACACCAAAATTTAATCATAATGTACAATATTGTTCAAGATAGCAATGTTAAACTATCATGTGCACATTTTTTTTAAAATTAAGTTGAAAATGGTAATTTCTTGGTTAGTTTGTGGTGTATATATTGGTGTACGCCATATATTATATATTAGATTGAACTGTACACCAAAGCGTCACCATATTGTACACCAAAACGTCACCATACTGTACACCAAAGCGTCACCATATTATATATCATTTCTAATTAATTTGTAATTTAAAAAATTATTAATAAGTGGTTGTAATATGATGTTATACATTCTTGTAGGTTAGTATGTGTCTAACTATTTATCGAAATGTATCGCAGGAATTTATGTGGATTTCAAGATTGAAGGAGTGATATATGACACAAACACCAAAAAGACGTTTACCAAATAGATACAATACTTTGTAATTAATTTTATTTTTTTATGAATGAAATTTTTACTAATACTAGTGATTTTTTATATATATTGGTATAATTATTTATTAATTCGATGATAAATATTGATAGATAGTTGATAATATTATGGTGTAAGGCAACATATAGTTGAAATATATAACAAAAATTAATGTTATAATCATGAATTTTTACTTCATGTGCAATTTAATTATTTGTTGGTGTAAGTTATTCATTGTGATTAAAAATAATTGTACACCAAACTTAATCTACAATGTACACTATTTAATATACTTTTTAAAAAAAAGTTAAAACTATTGAACGATGCTATGGTTTATAATAGGAATAAAATTTGATTATATTTTGGTATAAGTTATTTATTATAGTTACAAAAAAAA